CTAGGGAAAGATCTTACGAATTTTTATGATCTTAAGATTTTATGAATCTCGAAAGTACAGAAAACAAAAGCAAAAATAAACAACTGGAATTATATCAAACCACAAAGCTTCCACACAGCAAAGAAAATGACACAGTGAAAAGACAACCTACAGAAAGTGAGAACATAACTACAAACTATTCATCTGACAGGGGCATAATATCCATCATAAACAAGGAACTCAGCTCAACAGCAAAAGAATAAACAATCCAGTCAAAAAATGAGCAAATGACTTGAACAGACATTTGTCAAAGGAAGACACATATATGAACAAGAAATATATGAAAAAATGCTCACCATCACTAATCATCAGGAAAAGGTGAATCAAAACCACAGTGAGGTATCATCTCACCCTGGTTAGGATTGCTATTATCAAAAAGACAAAAATCACAGATTCTGGCTAGGGTGCAGAGAAAAGGGACCTCTCGTACACTGTCGATGGAAATGTTAACTAGTACAACCACTGTGGAAAACAGTATGAAGGTTCCTCAGAAACAAATAGAAATAGGACCCAGCAATCTCTCTACTGAGCATTTATGTAAAGAAAAGAAAATCAGTGTGTCCTGCATCTTCCATGTTTATTGCAGCCATATTAATAACAGCCAAGAGATGAAATCAACTGAGGAATCTGACAACAGATGAGTGGATACAGAAAATGTAGTACATGTGCACAAAGGAATATTATGTGTATCCATAAGAAAGAATTAAATCCTGTCATTCATGGCAACATGAATTGAACTAGAGGACATTATGTTAAGTGAAATAAGCCAGAAACAGAAAATTAAACACCACGTAGTCTTGTTTATATGTGGAAGCTTAAAAAAAAAGAAACAAAAAAAAAACCATGTTGGTCTCATTGAAGTAAGAAGGAAAAAAGAGGATGCTAGAAGCTGAGAAGGGACTGGGAGGGGAAGGATAAGGGGGGCTTCATTAAAAGATGAGAATTACAGCTAGATAAGTTTTAGTGTTCTGTACTAGATGGCTATAGTTAATCACATACTATATAGTTATTGCTATATAATAATTATGCATATATAGTTAACTATATAAGTACATATTACATAGTTTCAAATAGCTAGAAGGATGACTTGAAACTATATAACTATATATTCTATAGTTTCAGATAGCTAGGAGAAGGATACTGAATAGTCTCAACACAAACAAATGAGAAAGGTTGAGATGATGGGTGTGCGAATTATCCCGATATGCTCACTTTACATCGTATGTAGGAAAACATCACTGTGTGCCCCACAGATATGTGCAATCACTATGTGTCAATCAGAATTTTTTTTTAGTGAAAAATAAAAAGTGAGGTGATGGCTGGAAGTGAGGTGTAGTGCTATCTGCCAGGAAGCATGTGCATGATGTAGTTATCAAAGTGATAAAGTTTCTTTTTCAGTCTTAATTTTAAAAGACATTTAGGGATTTGATGTCTATTGAGGTATTTCTTTATGTACACATTGAAATTTTTTTATTAGATAGCATTTGTTTATAGGTAACCTCAAATATAAGCTGCAGGGAGGTCATGAGGACCTACGTAGAACTTTTTGGAAGAAAGGAGTTTTTAAAACACAGCATTCGTGCATGGCTGGGAAGGCCCTTCTATTCCAACGCCATGGTAGGGTACTTGACTCTTATGGAGGAGACCGGGTCAGCCCCTGCACAGAGCAGTTTCTGCAGCTTCAAAAGCCCCTTCATCTCTTGAATACTTTACCATTCTACAGCCACTACAACATCCCTGTTTTACAGTTTTCTTGATGAGATAAAGAGCCTGGAACACTGCAAGTCCTGCTTGAAGCTCTCCTAGAAAGAAAATTTCGGAGAGGCCAGTCCCTCCTCCTGGAATGTCCTCCAGGATTTGTCTCTGTGGCACCAAAGCTCTGGGGCTGGACCAAACATGAGCTAGCCTCCATGTGGGTTTTGTCAAAGTGTCTGCTTGGGTCTTTTCCATTCACTCCATCCACTCAGTGATCCTCCCTTCTTGACACAAGAAGGGAGGCTGAACACAACAAGGAAACCCTCACAGTTTGGAGTCCAGTGAGACTCACAAAAGCCCAGAACACCCCCTGATGTCCACATGGTCATTTCCAAATCTCAAAGCGACATTTGAGTTGCTAAGTTTAAGCTGATGGGAAATTGCGTATCTCCTTCCCAGCTTCAGGATTCCTTGACATATTTGAAGGGCTCCAGAGGGAAGATGGCCTGAGATGAGAGATGTAGCCATCATGCCTCAGAAATAGAATTTGCAGCAAAGGGCTTGATAATTTTTTGCTATTCCCTATTTACTGTTCTTGGAAGCTAACCTGTGGGGCCTGCGATCCAGCACCTGTCATAACAGGCATTAAACTGATCTCATTATTCAATGTCATTCATTGCCATCAAAACAGGTCCTGCTTTTGAAGGCCAGCCTGGGTTTGAGGCTGATCTTTGCCATTTAAGCAGCTGCCCCACTGCAGACATGTTTCCCAACTCTTGAATTTCTTCTAAAGACAGGCTGACCTGACGGGATTGGTTTGGGATTAAGTGAGATAAATATATGGTCAGCTCATAATAGAAGCTCTCCTAAATATAATTGTTCTTTCTCTGTTTTTTGTTTGTTTTTCGTTTTTTGTGGGTTTTTTTGGTTTGTTTCTTCAGCATGGTGACAAATTACTCCTCTGGAAGATCCCACAGATGTGAAACTGGGTGGTGATGTTACCCACTGACAGCAGTGGGATTTTCCTCCCTTGGGTGCTATGAGAGTGAAGAGCCAGGGTGAACACTTGGATGACAGGCAATTGCTTTGGCTCTGTTTCCTGCATTTCCATCTCTACTTGGTTATCCATCCACTGGGTCACATTTTGTCCTTAAGAAGTCCTCAAGCCCCAGGGATCTACCAAAATGTCCCTCTCAGCAGCGGTGACTTCTTGGTCTTGGGTAGGGGATGGTAGCAGGATTGTGTCTCGGAAGCTCTGCTCCACCCCTCCTTCTGATTCAGCACTTGTTCTTCCCACCTGGTCTCTAACACACAGTCTTCACAGCTTCTGTGCTCGGTTTCCCCTCTCCCCTAGAAAATGTCTTGGTTGGGAGTGAAGACACACACTCACACAAATACACAGATGCACACACAGATATATACATACACTGACACACACAGAGGCACACATACACATGTTCACACACAGACACAGATAATATACACAAACACAGACAATATACACAAACACACATATACACATACAGAGGCACACACACATTCACACACAGAGACACAAGCACACGGAGACACAGTCACACACGGACACACAAGCACACTCGTTCACACCCAGGAGGGCCTCCTGGCTACTGTGGCCCACTAGGTCATGAGATGTTGGAGCTGTGAGCTGGCTTAAGGCAAGTTACAGCCTGAATGAGTTATCAGGTTGGTGCAAAGTAATTGCAGTTTTTGCCATTACTTTTAATACGAAAACCTCAAATACTTTTGTGCCAACCTAATAGCTGTAGACTGATTTTCAAATAAATACTGTTGTGATTAACAGATTAATAAAAACATGCCAGGTGTTTTGTGTGTTTTAATGAGTAACTTTAGGGACTGAGGAGACAGTCAACATTTGGCTAGAATTCCCTGTCCTCAGATACCGTGCGATTGAAAGAAAATCCCCTTGGTGATGTGCTATTTATAACACTATTATAAAAGGTTATCTTGTTCAAATGCAGTGTGTGCTTAGGAGTTAAATCCAAGAACTGCCTGACCAAGAAAAAAAAAGAAGGTGCTTTAAAGTAGCATGTTGTCATAGTAGCGTGAAAATGTGAAGGTGTGACTGGCCCAGTATGAAATGAGCACACTCCCGAAATGACTCCAGCTTCTGTGGTGAGAAAGCCCCAGTCACTCTCAGGAGTCAGAAGCCCTCACCAGATGGCAGGGCAGATATCTGCTTTCTCAATGCTTCCAGGTAAAATCTTACATGACAGAGCACCAGAAAACATGGTACTCTAAAAAGCAAATTGACGTAAACTGTCATTTCAAAAAACTAAAATTATAAAAGACTCTTCATGTCTCAAGCAAAGTAATGGAGAAGAAATGTCAGGCGCTGTGGTTTTTCTGAATAGATTTGAGCACATATGTACCACAAGCCATTTTTTAGGAAAGTCAAATTTTCACACATTTACAGAAATAATTTGCTTCAGATCTGTAGCGAAGGCTTGAAGACACATGTGTTTTCTAAACTGCCAATCCAGGATAGTGTCTGGAGTATCTTTTTTTTCTTAAATACCTAAATTAGATCTATGCAGAGTGTGGAAACAGCAGATAACTAGCAATACTGAGTTAGTAGAGGAAAAAAAGGAACTTTCTTGATGCATCTCCCCTCCCCCCAGACAAAGTAAAACGACTGCATTGTGCTGTTATCGACAGAGTTGCACGCAGCAAATGCTCGAATCATTTCAGAGATAATGAGACATTATGTTTCCTAGTTCACTATTTAAAAATATAAAACCAACAATTACAGATGGAAACTATTCATTCTGAGATTTACGGAGGGAAAAGCAGGAAAAAAAAGCCCATGCCTTTCTAATGCCTGCGCACACTGCAGATGATTGAGCCACAGAAAGGGAGTTGGTGTTTACAGAGAGAAGCAGGCGGGCAAGGAGGGTGCGCTGTGAGTTTGGGCCTGGTTCTGACCCAGTCTCAGCTTTGACGTGGCCTCTGTGCCTTCGGTGCACGGAACCCACAGCCATCAGCTCCCTGGTTCTCTGGTCTTTCGTGGTCTTTCAATAGTTTCCAGCAGTGGGAGACCCCTTTACAAAAAAATTGGTACGTCAGGCAGAGACTTGTCTCACTAGGGAAGCCCATATTTGCAAGAAATGTCACGTGTAATGACGGAGACAGGAAAGTCTTTCTATTTGAATCATTTGAGTCTGGGTGGGTGTACTAGTGAATATCTAATTCTAGAATTTAAAGAATCTTTTTCTGTTTATTTTCAGTACTTTTCAGCAACAGAGGCATTGTTCTGGAGTAGTCTATGAACTGTAGACAGATTCTCAGTATTCCACAGGCCACTGGCCTTGGGTGCATCCAGGAAAATGTAAGTATTTTAAGTACTCTGTTCTGAGATACATTTTTTTAGATGATCGATTTATACTGTGTAGGTGTAAAGGCTTAATAGACAAAGACGAACTTCAGCTCAGCCCTTCTCATAATGAACATTTCTGAAGTTAATAAAATCCTTAAAAAGTACATTATGATGTATTTTAAAAAGTCTATTTTTATTTAATGCTACTATTCAGTGTTATAAAAGGTTTTACAACCAGATTCAAACACTAGAATCCATGCCTTCAAAAACATAAAACGTCTATTTACTTTCATTGAAAAATACTCATTTGATTTTATTATATTTGTGAAAACATGTTTTGCATTAAATAACATATGTTATTTAAATGTTGACATATTAACTGAGAAATTATCTCCTGGTTCCTAGAAAACATTAATTAAAATCTCAAAGGCTTTATCTCTATTTTACATGTTTCTCTGAAGGAAATGTATTATTTAGAAAACAAAGAGTGTTGCCATGTGATACTTTTTTTTTCAAATGAAACAACACAGCGGAATAAAATATATGATCTGTAGCTGCTGAAGCTGAGTCAGTTCCTGTTTCAATAACAAGAGTGTCATCCGCTCAACTCTTAACCAGCACAGTTTGTCACTGTGGATGTGGCTTTATTTGTACATGTTGCCAGAAAGTTCTTAGGGAAAATACACTCATAGTTTTCATACCAAAAAAAAAAAAAAGCTTTCGGTGAGCAGTTGTGGCTATGGCTGTTGCCTTGTTTATTATTTATGCTGTAGCTGATGCTTTGCTAATGGAAGGATAATGCTTGCCTGGCTGTATAAAGTAGTGCCTCCGTTTTCCCTGGGGAATTGTCATTTGCTCGTGTCACCCCAAAGCTCTCATACCCGTGTGTGGGGGTTTTCCAAAGAGTGAGCAGTGTGCCCCGATGGCATGACAGAGAGAGCTTCCCAGCTGAGAATCCGAAGACATGCAGTTTCATCTGGCTCTGCTAATGACGTATTGATCTTGGGCTTCTGTTTTCACATCTACAGAATTAGCCACTGAATACCATGTTCTGTATGCTTTCTTCCAGAGAAAGACTCTCTTACTCTTTTTCTAGAATCATGAAATTGAGCTGGCAGTCTGCTTGGTCAGAGCCTGATGTTTCCTGGATTTAGAGCTTGGTTCCCCGGAGACCCAGTGGACTAATTTAAAATGATTCATCCGCGTGAGTCATTGCCCTGCTGCCTTCAGGGCAAGATGTCTATCTATTGTCTTGTTGCTACCATTTTTTTACAGCTAACTCCAGCTCAGCAGCTGCAGACTTCAGCCCCTGCACCTGGTGGTATTGGCCGGAAGACATCAGCTGGCTCTCTGCAGACACACCTGGAGGGAGGGCTTGGGAGGAAGGGGTACGGCCTCCAGTCTGACCACCTCTGAAACACCATCCCAGGCTGTCTGTGAGGTTCATGTGCTTTGGGTCAGATTCTCAGTAGAACGAGAGGCCTTCCAGGGATCTTCCAGGTCTTGAAGGAAGCCACCAGGCAAATAACTGGTTGTCATATTCCCCTTAGAGCCAGAAGGAAACAACATCCTATCAGAAGGAAGGGAAATTTCCTGCCATGGAGGGAATCTTATAGCCAAACCGAGTCATGGTTTTGCCCTCATTTTAAAATCCTGTTGCGTATGTGGAAGCATATGGGTCTTAACAATTTCTCTTTCAAAATCCTCATAATGAATTACATTATGGCCATGTTTTTCCCTGACGTGTATCTGAAAAACGCATCTAGAGTCTAAGTCTAAAGGCACTGTTCAGTTGTAATAATTAACATCTCATTTGCATTCAGTACAATTCTAAGTTCTATGTAAGTGTCTAATCTGGTGATGGGCGTTGTATAATTGCTAAGTAAATATTTGCCGTTGGTTATGAAGAATGAATAAGATGGGCACGGCCCTGTCTTCCCGTCGTCGTAGCCCAGGGTTGCCTTCTCTGTAAACTGTGTGTGACCGCAGCTGAATCAGCGAAGCCGTCACCACCGGCCTCATACATCAGGGTCCTGTGGGCCGGTGAGTAGTTCCAACACTCCCATGGGGTGACCCTGCTTTACTTTAAACTCAGTTACATAAACCTGTTTAAGATAATGCTACGTGGCCGCTGAAAACTTCCTGAATGCCCTGTTTGCTGCTGAAGCTGATATTCCCAAGGAGAGAGTTGCAACCGTGGCAGAAAGTGCCACCCTCCAGGAGTGAGCCTGCAATCTGCTTATTCATGGGCTCGGGTCAGTCCCAATGTGAGGGCGCCGAACAGTACCCAGGCTGACGTCGGAGTTTCCGTCAGTTCAGAGTGACTTGATCCTTCCCTACATGTAGAACCAATCAGGGTATGTCTCTGGGTCCTGTGAAATGCAGAGTCTACTCCTGAATTGCTTTGCTTCATCAGGAGTTGGTGGGCTAGGTATCAAATAGACCTGGCCATTTCCCACTTCCATTCAAATGAGACCAATAACAGTCCTGCAGTTGCCCCCAGCTGGTCCTCCCTTCCAGGCCATCTCTTTGCCAGTCTGCTCTGGCTTCAGGAGAATAATCTTCCTGTCATAGATTGACGGTTGCCTGCATGCTGCTTTCACTTCCCATTTTAAGATCTCAATATCCATCCGGGCAGCATCCCTTGGCATCCCTTGGTTTGGAATCTGGGTTGTAAATTGCCAAACCTCTAGCCCCATCCAGGCTTACTTAGCTCTACTTCCCTGTAACACCCCAGAGCTCCAGCCATATCAGCCTGCATCCCAGCCTGCAGCACGGTCAAGAGCTGTAAACCCGCTTCTCTCCTTCTGGCTTGTTTTTCACGTAGACCATCCTGCTGGTTGCCTTTGCTGAGAAGGGTCTTCCTTCCATAGAGCTCAGGCCCTCTGGGAGAGCACCTCTGTGCAGCCGCCCCTGAGGGGAGGTATCTCTGTCCCTTCTCATGCCTCATACATCCCGCTGTTAGAGAATCACACTGAAATCTATGCTTTTGGCAGTTAAGAGTGTCTAAGGTGACTGCTGCCCTACTGCACAGAACTCGAGATCCATGGTGTGATGGGAAGAGCTTTCCAGCTGTGTGACCTTGGGTTGTCTTACTCTCTGGGCCTCAGTTTCCTCCCTGGAGCATGGGAGCACTGAAGGCTACCAACAGGAGCTACAAGGGTGAATGGAGGATTCATGCCAGACCCTGCTGGTTGTCCCTGGAGAGCAGACGCTCAGGAAACCCTCTCACCAGCTCCTGGAGAGCACGGGAGGTGCTGGCTCCTTCGTTCTCTATGGAAGGACAGTTCTGCACCAGGGATTGTTGTTAGAGTCACAAATTTGGGATTCTGGACTTCTGTGCTCGACAGGAGCCTCAAGTCCCCAGTGTCACTCAATAGTGACAAACCCAAATGAAAGATGCTGGCAAATGATCAGCAGCCTTCCTGCTGCTGTGCGCCTAAACCCTGTTGCTATTTTTGGGCCAGCATTGTTCACCCTGGATTTAGTTCTCCTTTGCTGTCTATTTTGGCTCTGCCCTGCTCTGAAAGGGCAGGCTCCACACTGGGTGCCGCAGCCAATGGCTTGTCCACGGTCTTTGTCCAAATGGACTCAGTGAGGATATCACCAGAGGAAAAATAAAAGATGAGAGAACTTGAAAAACATATCTCCCATTCAGAATCTTCTTAAAAATATACTTTCAAACAAAGAGGTATCACAGAAAGCATTTTGCTTTCCGTTTAAAGCTAAAGAAAATCAGAGTCACTTAGAAATGTGAATTATTGGAGGAAGAGAAGAATTGTTAAGATCATTCTACAGTGTCTGTATGCACTTATACATTCCAGTGTCTGTGTGTACGTGTGTGTCTCTCCATGTGTTTACCTGTGTATGTGTATCTGCATGTATGTACATGTACATGTGTGTATGTCTGTGTGTATATCTGTGTATGCATGTGTGTATATGTGTGTCTGTATGTACACGTGTGTCTGAGTCTCTCTGTGTCTCTTTGTGTGTCTACCTATATATCTGTGTGTGTATGTTTGGTCTGTGTGTGTTTGTATGTGTGTCTGTGTGTACATATATGTCTCTCTGTATGTGTCTCTCTGTGTCTGCCTGCATATCTATGTGTGTGTATGGTCTGTGTGGTTTGTATGTGTGTCTCTGTGTACACATGTGTGTCTGTGAGCCTCTCTGAATGTGTATTTCTGTGTGTCTCCCTGTGTATCTGCATGTGTATGTGTGTATGGTCTGTGTGTGCTTATATGTGTGTGTGTGTACATGTGTCTGTGAGTCTCTCTGAATGTGTCTCTCTCTGTGCCTGTGTATCTGTGTGTGTGTATATGTGTATGGTCTGTGTGTGCTTGTATGTGTGTCTGTGTATACATGTGTGTCTGTAAATCTCTCTGTAGGTGTCTCGCCGTGTGACTGCCTACATATCTGTGTGTGTATATGTGTGTGTGTGTATGGTTTGTGTGTGTTTGTATGTGTGTCTGTGTGTAATTCTTTATCTACTCTGTTTTCTGAATAGGCTGGTCCTTTGAAACCCAGGAGAGAATTTTTCCTTATACTTACAAAAGAAGTCTGTCCATACAGCATAAGCACAGTGTAAATGTGGGGGATTCATGCCTTGAGTTGAAGGTGATTTTAATCCCCTATTGTTCATCCTTTCTGAAGTGTGCTGCCTCGCAGGCACCTACTCTCCTGTTACAGCACAGAAAAAACAATGTCATTTATTTCCATGTCTTCGTTTTCACACTGTGTCAGCTGCCTGAGCTGCACAAAGAGGCGTTTTGTCATTTCCCTGCAGGGGTCTCCTGTGACCCCGAATCTCATGGGTTTGTGTCCTCGAACCATGTCATAAAGAGGGGCCAGCACGGGACCTTCTGGCTGTGGCACACACACGTGTTAACCTACAAGGCTCACTTCTGGCCCATAAGGGTCAGTGTGTTTTGTATTAATCACGCAGTGATCTGAAGGGGAAAACAGAGCGACTCTCCCTGCCAGTGACAGGACAGCCCAGGAGCAAGGGCAGGCTTCTTTCCAGGTGTGGCGATTCTCCGTGGCCTTGGTCATAGTCTGGAGATGATTGCAGAGTGAGTCTTGGGGATGTTGCTTGTGAGAACTGGAGAGGTGTGTGTCACTAACAGAACCTACCAGGCCCACGCTGGGGTGAACGGGCCTTACAGGAAATGCACTCACAGGTGAGACAACCTTTGGCATCAGCTCCAAACTTTCAGTTCAGAGAACGGTGAGTTCTCGGTACAGGGAGTGGAAGCTGATGTCATCGAAAAGATATTGCCTTGCTTTGAAATCACCAAGTGTGGTCAAAGTTCTCCAGCATATCCACACAGATGAAAAATGTGACTCTGAATCACTATGGGCAGCTTTTTGATAAACAGATATTAAAAAAAAAAAAAGCCTCATGTGTGGTTTTTCTGAGAATACTACACAGCTTCTATATGTACATTTTGATCCTATTTTCACTTACAACTTTCTCATAAGATTTTGTTAGGAGTGAAAAGCCACAATTAGCTCTAGGCCAAGAGTGAATAATTTCAACAGCCGCTCTAAGATGGTTTATATTTTTGGAGCCATATATGGGTGAAAGTAACGATTTCAACAGGACAAAGAAAAGAAAAGTTTTTGCACACAACAGAATAAAAAAGGTTCAAACTTCCATATGTGAAAAAGTTCAGATTCCCAAGGCTTGCTGAACACAGCTCCAGGGAGCTTTAAAACTTGCTTTCAGTAAAAACGTATTTGAAATGAAATGCTTTACTAACTTTCTGGGCTAAATCAGGAAACTACTTTCACTAATTAATATTAAACAGTTGGCGAGCACAGCACTTCCGGATGTGTTCCTTCTTCATAACTGAAAACTAGTGACATTTTAATTGAATTCTGATGATAATCTTAATAGCATCACTCTACATTGATTCCTTAAAGCAATTTTATATTGCAAATTGTCTTTGCATTCCTTTTAGGTTAGTTACATAACTTGCTTTGCTCAAAGGGTAAAATTAAAGTCTTACTAATGTCAAATGGTTTTGCTTTTCCAGTGTAAACATAGATATGTTAAGGAATGCATAGCAAGTTATCTTATTTTAATAGAGACTCATCAATGTTAGTTATTTAGTGTCTCTCAATAGTATCTCTGGCAAACCACACATGGCCTTCCTCATAGAACTGGGAACGGGCATTGAAATGAATTTCTAAATTATGGCATTTCCTGGCATGCTGGCAGTTGGCTTAATCATCTAAACTGTCAGCTCACACCCTTGACAGCCAGCTCAGGAGCTGGGGAGAGTCCAAATTTGGTGTTTTGAAGGAGCTTACAAGGGTCTCTAGCACTTAATGACTACCTTGAAAGTCATCGATTTCAAAAAGAACATTCCACTGTGGAAGAGCAGCCAAGAGAAGCAAACCTCAGGCAAACACAGTCTGTAACAGAAACAGAAACTCCTAGCAAGAAAATACCATGACCAGTAGTCACAGAGCCAGACAAACTGAGTGACCTCGGCATGCAGAACTGGGTGAGGAGCATGGCCTCATGAGAGAGTTGTTGTTATCATTATTATTAAAGAATTGAAAAGCATCGTCTGAAGTGGTGCTGTCACGGTTAGTTTCGAGGTGGCTTGCTAACTTGCAGGGGCTGGGTAGAAAGCCATGCTGTAAAAGGCATAGGTGCAGCTGACGTAGAACCTTTCCCTGAGGATGAGATGCCCACACATTTCAGGACTCATATACTAGGACATTTTGGGTGCAGAGAAACACTGCACCATTCAGCACTCAGCTACTGTCTCTCTGCCATCAATTTTGTCAAATGTCAAAAAATCATCTATTCAGAGACACCTGTGTGGAAGAGAGGAGTGGACTCTGAGAATTTAGGAGTCAGTTTCCTAATTCAGCTCATCACCCTGTTACTCAGGACCACTTCTGCCTGCCTAGCGGGGAGAAGCTTCAAAGTGCCGGTGTGGGCAGCATTGGGTGGTGCTGGAGGAAATGGCTTGGCTGCAGTTCCCGTGAAAATCTAGGGATTACATCTAGGTAGTCTTTCACCACAGCCCTCCTTCTGCCATCCACACAACAGTGTTCTTGGTGACCCAAGCTGTTCTTCACTGAGTCCTCACCTCATCTTCTCTGCTGACATTTCCCCTAGTTGTGGTGGCCATGCCCACCAGAGAGCCGCTCCCTCTAAGGTGATCCTCCCCCATCTCCTGGCCTCACAGGCATGGCTGCTCCAGAGACCACGATGCATTTCCTCCTCTAAGTCACGTGGGATGCATCCAAGGGCTCCTGGAGGCTCAGCTGTCATTAAAAGAGTGCAACTTACAGACCACACACTTCCTTGTAAAAAAAAAAAAAAAAAAAAAGAAAAAGAAGAGAAGAGAAGAAAAGAAAACTCTCCTTATAGTCTTCAAATTGTAGAAGGAGGCAAGAGTTAAAAAAAAATTCCTGGAAATGTGAGTTCTTCTCCTTAATGTAGAAATAACCCGTGCTGAAATTCCAGGCACCAAGGCCATTGGCTTGAGCCTTCTTAGTCAATATGTATGACAGACTTTTGAGAGCCTCATTCACTTGTTTATGACAATAATAACTAGAAGACAGTATTAAGCATCTCAAATCCCAAAGTGAATAAAATGCTGAATGAAATAAAAAATGCTCCAAAATCTGAAATGTTTTTGAATGCCGACATGATGCTCAAAAGAAATGCTTATTGGAGCGTTTTGGGTTTTGGATTTTTAGATTTGGGATGCTCAAATGGTATGTTCATTATGCAAATATTCCAAAATCCAAAATCCATGAAATCTTAAACACTTGGGTTCCAAGCATTTCGGATAAGCAATACTCAACCTAAATACACCTATCAATTTTTTTCCTAGCAGGAGAGGAAAGAAAAAGTCAACCACATTGATGTATCAGCAAACATACGAAGTGTTTCTGAGTAAGTGCGAATTGTGGAAAGTCGGGGAGACCAAGAGAGGACACGAACAATTCTGAAGCACCTTCAAAATGCACATAACTGATTTTGTATTGTTTTGTTGCCAAGACTGGGTCTTGCCATGTTGCCCAGGCTGGTCTTGAACCTTTGGGATCGAGTGATTCTCCTGCCTCACCTTCCCAAAGTGCTAGGATTACAGACATGAGCCACCACACCCGGCCTGGTAACTGATATTTTTTGGAGACAGTAAATACGTATTTATGATGTGCACAGTATTATGATAAATGCTGTTAATATGAAGGAAGGTACATATTAACATTCCTGGGGAAACTGCAGATCAAGATGATGGCATAATCTTAGCTCCCAAAAGACAATCGATTCCTCTTGTAAACATTCTGATTCTCTTGTGTGGTCACATGGCTGTTGTGTTACCACCAGGAAAGTTATCAACATTATCTTCTAGATCAGTGGTTCTGTGTTCATTGTATTCACTCAGGCCTCAAATCTTCACTAGTAACACTTCTCATTACTGCAGTAATTCTTCACCAAGGCCACGGATCACCTCACCAGGCAAAACGACAGCAACTTTTTCCTAACCCGAGAGGAAAGGAGAGTGAATCTGAGGAAGCAACCTCTCCCCAAGTCCTGACCTCACTGGGTCACTACCTTGCAATGCAGATTGCTTTAGACTCTTTGAACACAAAGTACTGCAGCCCATAATGATAAAATACTTGTGCAAATTAATTTTTAAAAGCCCTCTTCCCATAAATC